TGTGCGGGCCGGGAGCGCCCCGAGCCCTTTTTCGCGCTGCACGCGGGCTGTGGCCAGCAGCCCGGGCACGCGGGGGCGGAGAGGGAAGGCCTTCGCTCTGGAATTAGGCACGGATGCGTATCGGTAGTTTAAAAGATTGTTTACTTACACCGAGATGGCAATGGTGTAGGCTGGAAAGCTTGATTAAGTTGCAGTTACAGACAGACACAACACAGACGGTCTCGTGGAGGTTGCTAGGCTCCACGGTGCAGAGCTCCGGATGCTCTGGGTGAACAGGCCACCAATGTAGAAATCGTAAATACGTCTTATATTAGTCGCGCTCGAAGACGGGAAGAGGTGGGCGGTGGATCAGGCCGCCACGCTCCTCTGGATCTCACACAGGGTTTCTATTACCCTGCCGTGTACCCAGAGTCCCCACGAGATGGATGTGGAGTCCTTTTCGGCTTGGGCGGAAACTGCTCAAACCTCTTATACGGCTAACAGGCCAATCGCTAGCCGCCACGTGGGAATAATTTAGCACTAGCCAATCACGGGGAACGAATTTGCATACCGGTGGCGGGAACTCTTTTGCACCGTGCATTCCTCTTGCAACTCGAGCAATGCACTCTGCAAAAGAAGCTGCAGAAAAGGCGGGAAACTGGTCCCTGCACCGGAGTTTCCTCTTGCTACAGGAAACTCCCATGCAATGCTCTGCAACTTAACGTGGATAATTCTGATGCCGAAGCACACACACACAATCATGCCTTTTGGGTCATGACATTAACATGTGGAAATGACATGCCAAAGTAGTGGTTTTAGCAAAACTGTCATATGTCCCCTCTCAACCAACTGTTCCCACACTGCCAGAAAAAACAAACAAGCAAGCAAGCAAGCAAGCAAGCAAAAAAACCAGTGACCTGGTAGCTTAGGCACAAATTAAACAAGAAACTGCAGGAACAAGAGGGATGATCCTCACAGCCAGATGCACAAAAATATGTGGGAGTTTAGTACAGGAGAGGTGAATTTATCAGACATAGGCCTTGATCATTTCACCTAGTCTTCAAAGAACAAGCTACAGACTTTGATCTGAGGAGCTAATGATAAAGTGAAGCAAAACCCAGTAACAGAATGGCGGCCGACGCTGTGATGGGTATCTTTTAGGGAGGAACAGCAGGAGTTCACAATCACCTATGTCTTGCCATGGCCAGTTGCTCTGGCATCCTGCCATGGAAAAGGGATGTTCTTCCTCATGCAATATTATCCATATTCAACTAATACTTTTATTTTTTAAAATCTGAGCTGCATAACATTATGCTTAACATAACATTTAACATAACATTATTGTAAAATTGTAAAATAACCTTTTAAATGACATGAGGCACCTATATACGTGCTCTGGGGTAGGGGAGGGCACGTTTTAAGTAGAGCGGCTCCTGGACAGACACGAATTAAAATGCCGCAGCATTCAATGTCCCATGTTTCAAAATGGCTGTGGGCAGTGCTTGAACTAAAGCTTGTTTGATGAGCTTTAGTTAAAGTACCCCTGCCGCCATTTTGAAACATGGGGATGCTGAATACACAAGATGCTGCAGCACACTGGAGCATCCTGATTACAATGCCCCAGTAGACTCAATTAACCGAGTCTTCTCTGATACGTTCTAATCAGAATGTGTCGGAGCATGTGTAAAAATACCCTTTGTATATACACACGACATCAACTAGGATGGGTTAATGACATCCCTGATATATTGATAAGATTGAAAGAAGCAGCAAAAATGCTCTTAATTTTCATTTCCTGGGTGCAGTATTATCAAGAAACTCATGATATAAATTGCTGTTTCTGGCAATCTTCAACTGGACTTTAGCTAGTTCAAAACTAAAGCTATGGCCTAGCTATATTAGCATGACAATGACAACAAAAACCCATGAGAAAAATTATTGTAATCTTGGGTGACAAAAATGAGAGTTGCCATGAACAACCTAATAACCAGAAGTGGCAGTTTAATAGCATTCTTCATTTCAGCCCGCAGCCTAAAACGTCTAGACTCTAAAAGGAAATATCAGACTGTGAGAGGATGCCATATAAATGCACAGCTAAGATTTGTCATTAACCAGTTTACCTTTCCTCAGATTTACAGCTCTGGGTGTAATATGCTTTGGAGTGAGGAGCAGGCTTACCAGCTTTTCCCCTACAAATTGTTCTATTTTGTACTTCTTGTAACATAACTCATTGTTACCTTGTGGAGTCTGAAGTTTCTTGTGGCTGCAGCAATGCTGGCATTCTGAAAGTCAGCAAAAATCATGGGCACATGCTTAAAATTCAGTACATGCTAAGATCCCATTGCAGTCAATGAGACTTCAGCATATACAAAAATGTGTTTTCCTGATTAGGGATGATTGGGTGAATTGGGGCCTCTGCCTGCAACTTTATATTTCTCCATTCCTACTGGGAGAGGTTTTGTTGGCTGTGGGATAGGTCATCTTTTAATATCCTGGTTTAAAGAGGGGGAAAAATCAGTTTATTTTTGTGGGGAAAAACAACAGTGATTAAGTTGAGTATTTCTGATTCTGAATGGCTGAAGGCACAAGGTGTGTTAGGGTCCCACTATTGCTTTGTATGTTATATCATTATTTCTATAATCATTAATTAAATCACAGTGAAATGGAAGGTGTTGAGTGCTTTGCAGTCCTACCAT